AGGTGTAGAATCATCACTTCAATTTCTTTGATATTGAGCAAATATCGATCCACAGGGTGATTCGAGACACTAAAGAATCGTAAAATTCAGTTAAGATGCTGCTCTGCCCATGTGTGTCGACTGGCTCTATATCGATACACAAAGTGCCAAATGAAATCCAATTTAGAGATAACACTTCCAATATCGACTTCTTTAAGCAAGTCATTAACTAACTAACATTCCTTAACTCATTTCGAAAACGTTTTAATATCAAAAAAGAAAAGTTCGCCAATATATTTAGTGATCATGAGAGCCAAGGGTAAATTCGCAAGGCAATTTCTACTTTTTTGGGAAACACGATTTTAAGGAATTATTTAATGCACATTCGTTTTCAGCAGCTCAGCGAACTGCACTAATTCGTCGCCTAGGCTGGTGTCCAAATCATCTTTGCAAGAACTGACCATTTTTGTTGTCAGAGATTTCAGCTGTCGAAATACTCCAAAAACAGAAGTAATTATATGATATGCATTCATTCGTTTAGTCAAAGCAGACAGTACGTTATCAATAATGACAATCACCTCAACTTCAAAACGTTGTCCAGGTGTTTGATTTTCAACAAAGTCGTCGAGTGTGGCTACACCCGCTGAATTCGTCTTGATATCTGTTGCTGTTATTCTTCACAGTCGGTCAGGTCTAAAGCATAGCCTAATCGCTTCGCTACTCGCGTTCAAGCACAGTATATTATCCTGTAAAATGGTAATATACTGTGGTTCAAGGCATGCAAGATATTCCTCCTAATTCAATTTTTACAGTTAGACAGGCCGGAAAGGCGTTAGAGCGCAGTGCGGCGCGGGGCCCTCCAATTCGCGGGGCCCCCCAATTTGCGGGGCCCATAGCATTTGCTACTCCGCTCTGAACTATTTTGCAGAGGGTGTTGGCTCTTGCAATCATAACTATAATATGTAATCGGCATACCTCGGGCAAGATATGTCGAGGAGGCAAGTCATAATGTTTGTCGGTTACTCAACCGAAAAGATACGTATAATGATGAAGTTGGAAAGCCCTTATTTCGAGTGACAATGGAAAATGAATAAACTCCACCGCCCCGTGTGAGAGTCGACCTCACAAGCTGTGGGTTACATGCCCAACGCTCTACCAATTGAGCTAACGGGTCATTGATCGACGGATGACCCGTCAGCTCAATTGGCAGAGAGAGGTTGTGAGTTCGACTCTCACATGGGGCGGTAGAGTTTTTTCATTTTCTATTGTCACTCAAAATTAGGGCTTTCCATCTTTATCATTATATTCATATGTCGAGTGCGGAGGAGTTCATCTACCGTTGGGCTTCACATGAGTGGAGATGCAACTCTCCCCTGCGGACACCCTATCTGCTTGTACACTTATGGAAATATTCTATTTTCCTACTTCCGATTCTGCTATCCTGGTAGAGAGCATTTGCAAACCCTTGCTGTGAAACTGTTTGTTCTTAGAAACAATAAAAGTTGATTGATTGATTGTTTGATTCAATGAACCCAACATGAAATTATGGATGCTATTACCTCACAAATTACCACTTTTTCTCACCGCGTATACTGATCGAGACTACCTTCCTTTACAAATCATAATCATCAATTCTGCCAACATTTCTACACCCGACTGTCAGTGCCATCTGTGAGGTATAGATGGAAAACAAATGCTCAATTGATTGGAAAATTTTGATGTACAATATGGGGTTTATTTTTTGCCACTTTAGTTTTTTCTATAGTAATATTACTTTCGGAGAAAATGGTCAGAAACTCGTTTTTACTGGAAAATGGGGGTGAGGGTGCAAACTTCTCTAATCTTCATTGTACACCTCATCATTATCTTTCCCCAAAAATGATGTTATTAGTAATTCCATTTGAAATTTTGAATTTGTATTTAACATATTCAAGGTTCTCCCCATAAGAACACAAATTGACAGGTCTCGGTAAATACCAGAAGAATTCGGTTCATATGTTTTAGAAGAAAGGTCAAGACCATGTATAATCATTGAAACGAGGAAGCATAGGTATATCTTTTTTGAGAGTGAATCAATAATTATATTCAGAAATTTCCTACAACATGTACACATACAGGGTGACTTAAATACGGTTTCTATGAATATAGTTTGTATTGATGTTCATTGATTATAGTACAATATTTTCAGAATTGTGAATTCTCATCTACAATGTGTATCACCATCCTTGTATTTTCTAATTCGTTCACAGATTTCAACATTTTCGTTCACTCAACATGTAGTACTCAATCCGTTCTACTTTAATAAGGTCTCAATAATTCTCTCATTGCAATATTGCAAGGCATCTTTTTCAGTGAAAAACCAATATCATCAGCATGATGAGAAACCACTGAAACATGTATGTTTTAATTTTCACGATGATATCATCTACAAGTCATTTTTTGTTAGAAATTATCTATCATTTGTGAATATTTAAGATGTTTGTACAAAAAATTCGTTATATACTCACCGGCAAAAAAAAACGGCCACCAAAAAATTTGCCCAAATTGTTCATCCTGTAACTTTTTTAATCCTAGTCCGATTTTTGTGGAATTTGGATCAAACCGTATATAGATTCATGTTCTGGAATGGTGGCCTAAATATCAGTTTTCGTGAAAAGCTGATGATCTGATCATTATACAGGGAAAAACCAAAGTTACTATTTCACGACCCTTTAATTCATAACGCCCTGTGGCGAAATTGAGTAATTGAAATTGGTTTCATTATACTTTGGATTGGAGTGTGATCCTTTCGTAACACAATAGTTTTTGTTTCACGTCAATATCTTATTTTTAAGAAATTATGGCATTTTTCAATTTCCATCAACAATAATCAGAACCTACATAAACTTATCGATTAATAACTTGAAGAATTAATGTTACTCATTTATACCTTCTTTTCTCACCACTTACCGAAAAAAATTTCATTTACAAATAACAAACAAAGCAGACCTGTATCAAGAAGTCTTGAGGAATTGCTCAAAAATCGTAGCTCTTGAAGTGTCTTGACAAGACCGGACGAACGCGAATGAGCCTCTAGAGTTCATCCCTAAGATGCTCTATAGGTTCTGAATTATGGTTAATAAAAATTTTAAAAAATCCATACTTTCTTGAAACACTTGTATATTCTCTTGAAAAGAAGATATGGACGTGAATCTATAACCATTGTGTTCAGAAGGGACGAAAAAGGATCACAATTCAATTCAAAACAAGATGAAGCGGAAGGTTGGAGATTGGTTCTGAATTATTTTTAATGAAAATAATAAAAATCCATACTTTCTCAAAACACTTGTATCTTCTCTTAAACAGTGGTTATCGACGTGAATCAAGAACCATTGTGTTAAGAAGGGGTCAGACTTCGATACAAATTAAGCCTAATGAAGCTAAGTTCATCGACTTACCTCTTCCAGAGGGCGTTAGAAAGTTGAGGGTGAAAAAGTACATTTTGTTTTTTCCTGTATAATGATCAAGCCTTCAGCTTCTCTCAGGACCTGCTATTCAGGCTAACATTCCGAAACATGAATATACGATTTGGTCGAAATTTCACCAGAATCGAAAAAGAATTAAAATAGTTACAGGGCGAACGATTTGTCAAAATTTTTTGATGGCTGGTTTTTTTTTGCCGGTGAGGGTATTCCAAGTTTTAGAGAACCAGTATTACAAGAAAACAAATTCTTTTCGAGAATTTTCATTATAATTATCGCACTATCGTAATGAAATAATGAGAACTAACAGACGATAAAGTTCGAAACAGCTTGTCACTCAAAGTGTACTTGGCACTACTTTCCTAATGATTGAACTTGAAAATTTAATATAATCTCTTATACAAACAACATCCCGTATATAATAACTACAGAAGAACACTTTGAGAAAGGTTCTATGATCATCTGAATAATATGATCATGATATTATTATATCGTTCAAATGATTTTTTGAACGGAAAACGGAGATTCCTATAATACAAAACGAATTGTATAATATAATATCATCGTAAAATTTTGAAAAAATATACGTGTTTCAAAAGTTTCGCAACATTCTGATGATATTATCTATAAGAGCACCTAAATATTATCCTGATATAATATTCTCCAAACAATTTTTTGCACAGAAAATTGATAATTCCTATAATATAAAACCTCTTGAATGTGATATCATCGTAAAAACGGAATCATAAGTATTTCAGATGTTTCGTAACATGCTGGTGATATCACTTTCTCAATAAAACAATGCCTGATAATCTGGATTTTTCACACTTTGAATATACCTGGTGTCCCAGAGCTTTGAGGCCAGCAGATTTTTTTCGGTGGTGGTCAAAATCCTTTATGGTTACCACAAAGGACTATTTCCTTCATGTGGGTGTACCCACTGAACACTCCACTCCTTTCAAGGCTCGTCTGACCGAACTCTCTGATGACACTTAAGCCGGTTGGCCCATTGTACCGTTATCAATTTCGCTATATACGGCCCATGGTTCTTATATAAGAGCCACTTCAAATGATGCCACATTAACTGTGAGCACTGCTGCTCAGTACCAGGAGTTCGTTTGAAAGACTCTTTTCATTCAGGTTCCTGAATACCTCTTCCGAGCCCTGATCTCGTCCATGAAAAAAGTCAAAAGTGTTCCTTCTCCTACGAGTAATGGGGGAAGGAGTTGGTCCAGATTTGTGGTGCCCCCTGCACAGGGCTAAGGCTGTTCACTCAGTCATGTCGCTCTGTTTCTCAGAGATCTCGTTATCGACACCACATAACCTCAGTGCCATTCATAGGTCGCGTGCAGGATGACCGACCCTGGAGGCAAAATATTGAAATACAACCTCATTCTTCTGTGAATTATTGAAACACAACCTCACTTTTTTATTTGGTTACAAAGGAATCAGAGGATTGATATAGTTTTTCACAATATTTTGGCATACGAATCGTGTTTTTTGCGCTATTCATTAATTCAAGCATGCCTTCGCATTGTACTGTTGTACAATGCACAAAAAATGCAGCAAGAGACTGAAGAATATGATTCTTCAGGTAAATAGTAATCTCACATAGTTATCATTATGAAATGTTGTCATTCCTTATTAGAATTCCTTCTGCCTTCTGCAACTTCTGCAATACAAGCTAATACTGCTGATAGATTGAAAATGTCTACAACACACACGATCGTCAGCATGTCAGACCAGTCCTCCCGATTGATTGCATGTACCCAATCTTCTTGCATTATTTTAGAAATTTCAGGTGTATTTCTATTAGCTCCTATCGCAGAAGGAATTCCGATGAGAAATCAGAGAAATTACCAAATTTCAAAAATGAAAACTATATGTGAGTGACTATAGTAGGTACTTACTTTTAATCATAATGTACCAACCGGATTACTTCGTCTTCCGCTGCAGTTTTTGTGCATTTCACAATAGCATAATGTGATGGCATGAGCGAATTGATGAATAGCGGAAAAATACGATTGCTATGCCAAAATAATTGTGAAAAACTATTTCGATCACTTGTAAACAAATAAGAAAAGTGACGTTGTGTTTCAATGTTTCGCCTCCAGCGTCGGTCATCTGACAGTTCTTGCACGCAACCTATTCCTCGTCACGGGTTCCCACAACTTGGATTAGGTTGCCAGAGCCTCGTTATCAATCCGCTGCCACCAGATTTTCACAAATTGCCCCATCCTTGCACTTCGATGTCCACAAAACTGTACCATCTGAGTGACGAGAGCAAAGATGTTCCCAAAATGCTCAATCTGCCGAGCAGCCGCGCTATGGTAAGGTTTGGCTTTAGGAGAGAAGGAAAAAAGAAGAATTGACCAAGAGAGGCCGATGAACAAGATTGAAAACTGAGTGAAAAGGATACCATCAAAGACAAGTTGACGATTTATAAGTATCCGGCTAGGGTACATCGGGATTTCCATTCCCGTACTGGCCGTACTCACAAGTCGTGAACCTCTGAGGGGAGATATCTGAGTTATGTGACATACCACAAAAGAATTAGGGAAAGCTCTCCAAGACAATGAAATCGAATCACCTTCTTGTCAAACAATCTGCTAGAAACCACCCTTAACTCTGGTGTTTCGAATTGCACCCACATGTTTTTTCGGTTCACCTTATACAACTTTTCAATCTTAATTCAGTGATATATCGGACTAGATATCAAGCAAGAAATTCAACCCAGAAATTTCGAATAATTTAAATAATGTTATAATTTTAATAAAAAAATATCGATTTTTTCATGAATTATTGTTCGAAATGACTGTTATCATTCGCTACACTTATCTTATATGGCCTATTCAGACTTCGTGTACAGCTCTGGATGTTCAAGGAATAACTGGGTGTATCAGTGTAACAAGCCTGCAATAGTTATTTATGTAGCAAGGACAAGGAACTCTCTATTATAGTTGTGTCTGAAAATTGATTTCCGAGGCTAGCAATCAGGTGAGATAATAGACAGTTTTTCGCCGAGGTGCATATTAAATTTTTTCGTCGACCTCAATTCCTTATATCCACATAACGGTCATATTCACACGTGAAATCTATCAGATTTCGTAAATAATTGATTTGACAACAGCAAAATAAAATTGTTGTTGTCAACTCACTCTCCGCGCGGACCAGGGTTGCCAGTTCGATTTTTATTTCATCATCAGTAAATATCTTAAATACTGGTCTGTAGGTTAATCGAGGAGGGGGTACATACATTATTCCAGTTTTTTTGGGATTTTCTCTCCTCGTTTCTATAGAATAAGAATATGAATATCATTTCAATACACGTGTAGTAGCGTAGTAGGGACAAATCAGATGATTTGCCTCAAAAAGTCATTGCGTTTGAAGAATTTTCCTATCAGAGAAAAAGAAAAATTCACCAGCTTGTCAGTGACAATTTCGGACAATTTCAAGCACATTGTTTGACATATGAGTGATTTGATCTCACCATTTTGCGAGCTTTTCTTCCCATGAATTACAAAATTTTTGGAATTTTTTTGTATGTTAGATAACCCAGATATCTGTTGGCCTCAAAGCTCTGGAACAGCAGGACGATGTACCTGCGTACTAATTAGTGAACGTAAATAATTTTGAAATCGGTCAACAAATAGGAGAATACAAAGGAGGTGCAGTTCAAAGTGAGAGACACTGTAGAATCCGTGATGTGGAAAATAACGTTAATCTTAATTTGAGCTATATTCAAATAGACTAGGTTATTTGGATCCCCTTGTAGGTTTACAGTGCTGAAAAAAGTTCATGAAGCTAAACTATACCATTCAAAGTGAAATAGGTATTGTATTCATCAGTATATATAGGTATATACCTACACTTATCAGAGGAAATGGATGATAGTTGAATTCAATAATTCATTCAGAATTGATTTCAATATCACATTCCAATTATTCGACTTTTCGTTTCAGACAATATCAGCGATAAACAAAAAAAATACCTATAATGGTCCACTTACTCATATAATAGGTAATCACCAAAAAGTGAATCGATTGTCAGCTTGCCTAGTGCAACTGATGAGGCTTGGCATGCCGAAACAGTCTGTTTTGCATCAACTGAAAATGGATTCACGAAATTTCTCTAGTTTTTCTTACTCTTGAGATTCTAGGTTTTTACCATCTGTTCGTGAAACATTAAACCACTCTGAAATTGCGGGTGATGCGATAGTCTGCAGAATTGTGATGTATTTCTGCTGGCATAGACGTAGGGGTCTATGCACGACTCACTCGCGGGTATGATTGTAGAACAATCTACTTATTCACCTTTGCACTTTCGGCACTAGATGGCTCTAAAGGCTAGATCGTCCTTCTGCCCCCCTTCTGGGCTTCGATTTAAAAAATACCAATACAATATTTGATGAGCTCTGAGAATTGTACTTATTTGATACATTTTTTTGAGACAATGTCTTCTTTGAGACTATTATAAAAGGTCATGATATCTCATTGAAGTTTTGAAAAACTCATCATGCGTATTGCCACAAAGTATCATGAACTTTTTTCAACTTCCTCAAAATATTCACATATCTCCATTATTAATATCTGAACAATCATCTAAATTTCTTGCTTGCATGCTTCAAGCTAATAAAAAATATGACAACTACCAACTTTCTCTATCTACTTATGCCTCTCTATATTTTCTTACATCTATTAAATAACTTGAGGCTATAACAAACTCCAATAATGCTGGAAATTCTCTGCTATTCTGAAGAAATCAATAATCTTCTTTCTAACAAAATTGATATTCCTGTTCCACAACAAAAAATAATTGAAATCTACGAAACCAACAAATATTTTTCAGAAGAAATACAGAAGATTGAAGAATAGAGTGAGATATATAAATATCTGGAATTTTTCTGAAAAATAATTGTTTCTGATCTTCTTGCCTATATGAAATCATCGAGCATAATTTTGTTTTAGAGATAAAATCCAGTCAAAGAATCTGCAATATGTATACATATATCTTTTCAATATTGTTTACTCAAGTTAGTGGTTCTTGATGGTTTTAAAGCTGTTGAGATACCTAAAAATATGCAATATTTGTTTCCTTGTCTCAGGTTCTTTATACTAATATTAATATGAAATATTTTGTTTTTCAGTTTATCCACAGAAACAGCAGTATGCTTATGCAGGCTACCCAGTAGCACAAGCTCAGCCATATTCGGGTCCTTATTACACGACAGGCTCAGCTTATGGACCATACAATTATTGATATTTCTCTAAAGAATAATATAAATAGACTGTCCTTCTTTACCAACAGTAAGTACAGTCGTCTTCAGAGATCATATCGCACATGGACGGTGTCAGCTCCCTTGATCACTGCTGCAATAAGAGCTTTCATACCGTCCAACCGCGACATGTTCGCTGAAGACGACTGTACCTATACCTATCTATAATTCGACTAGAAACATGCTCATGACAATATAATTATTCAATTGACTTGAACTTTCTAGTATTAGTAGTCTGAAAATAATCAACTAGGTTTATTTGTATATTCTCTTCCATAATCCCAGCTAGCACAGTGACGTCAGATTGACATAATTTTTTGGTCACAAAATGACGAAAAGGACGTCCTAAAATGTCGTCAAAAGTCACAAGCACAAGACGTCATATTTATAGGTATGTCAAAGTGACTCATCAAGGACGAAATAAAACAATCCTTGGGTATATTGATCATGTTCTCAAAGTTGAGTTATTCATTTTGAGAGCCCGCAGAGTTCGTAAGGGGAAGTCAATTTATCAAAAATCGTTAACATCAAAGTTGCAGAATGATTGCTGTTCAATCCTGGTGTTATCATCACTAGGTATGCATCGTCATCATCAGTTTTATGTCATTCGCTAGCGAGCGTCGGCGATATGTAAGCGGACTGAAGTATAGTTTGATACGAAATCCACTGATTCCTGTTCTAGACCTCCGTATTACACGTCAATATGACGTGATAGAATATGACTTCATTTGTATAGGTCATAATTTGGTCAGGTCAGGAAAAAATTATGAAAAACCAATATATGACGTCTTCTTAAGTCACTCTGCTACCTGGGTTATGATGATCTTATATCCAGTCAGACATTTTTCGAAATCATTTAGGGTACCTAATATCTATTTACGTCCACAAGTGGAGATGATATACCAATACAATCTACAGAGTGTTGAAAAGTTCGACAGACAACTCTTCCCAGGTGATAGCCCTCGTAGTTTGGAAAGGTGAGGTAGGGACATAAGGCTCAATTTTGGATTTTATCGCAATCATGCCATTTCATCCAGGGATTTGTGATACTTATTCCTCTCATATTTTATACAGAAATGTGTTCTTCAACTTTGCATGAAACAATACCATATATTCGAAATTTTTTACCTTGAATTGAAATTTACTGTCATTTTTTCATTTTCAATAGCATGATACTTATGACAAAAATATTTTTCTGGGTGGTGAGTTCAATAGGTACTGAAAATGGAGAAAAATGTCCAAGTAAGCATCTTTGTGTCAAATATTTCCAAAACTCGTCTTCTCATTCTAGTTGAAAGTAACGTGTTTTTTCATAAAAATCTATTGCGGAATTAAAAAAAGTCAGAACAATCGAATTCTAAATATTGACGACACGTGGGGAGGGCCTTATATTCCATAATCAAATCACGATTGCTATCACCTGTGTGATGCGTTGTTTTTTGCGTTTGTGAATGGTTATAAACTTTTTCATAGTGTAATATTTGGTGTGTAATATTTCTCATAGTTTTTATACTGTACCTACCTAGCTGTACTTTTTATATCACACTTATATATTACGTTTTTGAACTTTGGAATATGTTTTGATTTTCTAGTCTAAATACATATTTTCACTTTAATGAGAACATACTGTAGACATAGATATAGTTTAGTTGAGATAATTTAAGTTATATTTATAGTGTGTGTGTATAAAAGTGACTGTATTTTATCATCAGGAGATACCGGACGAACAAATAGGTAATTTTAACAATAGCTAGGTATACATAATATATTTATATTTTTGATATTAGTATTTTTTGATATTTCTATATGCATATACATAGAGTGTTTTCAAAGTTGAGGCATTTATTTAAACATCATGAAAAACTCGCAGTAATTAAATCAAAACGCCTCTATGGGTATATATACACCGTGTCCCACTAAAATGTACCCCCCTGTTAAAAATCAACCGCGCCGTGGAATGACTGGAAATTTGGGCACCCAGTATATTTGATGATGATTACTCGAAATATGCTATTGAAGAAATCGAATAAAGATAGAGGGTTCCGTGGCTGTTGGCGAGTAGTGTATATCACTTAAGATGACCCCACTTGGTCATAGTGTGTATTTTAGGTATATCTACCGCTCCTGCAAATTTCAGAAAACTAAGTCAACAATTATGTAAGATACAGGAGTGCTTCCATTAGAAGTGACTGTATACAGGGTGTCCCACTAGGGTCGACGAGGTACGATATTATGGAAGCCATGAACATTACAGCTTTGGGAAAAAATGTATTGAGGAAATCAGCGATGAAAAGTTGATACGGAATATTTTCAATTTTCTAAAATGACCGGTAGGGGGCGGAGTTACTATAATATAAATCGCTGCTTAAAGTGATTTTTTGATAACGAAAATATAAAGAACATTATAGTTTATCGTTGTTTTGGTCTCCAGACTTTTCATCGAATCATCAATAATAATGGTGGGGAAGCTTGTGAACAACATATTTTCAAATTGCAGTATCATCCATACCCCTCATCCAAATTCAATCAACTTCGGGCCCGTTTGAAAGATAATTTGACACTCATTTAAAAACTGATTTCGTTTATGGTTGCTAGTTCACACCGCGTCTTATAGCGGGCGTCGTTTACCGACTATTTGATTTTTTCGGATTTTCTCGAAACAGTCAAATGGAATGGTACATGTTTGCATCAAAGCGATTTTCTGAGATAATTTGAATTTCTCGTTGTATCACAGTAACTTCGCCCCCTACCGGCCATTTTATGAACTTGAAAATATTTTAAATCAATTTCTCTTCGATTTTTTTGTCCCGAAGCTGTAAGGTTCATATGGTTTCCATAACATCGTACCTCGCCAACCTCACACCCTGTATATATATATATATTCAATAACATAGTTATGTCGAGCTATTATCATCATCAAATATACTGAGTGAGCGAATTCCAAGTTTTTTAATGGGATCGTTGAATTTTTAATGGGATGTGGGGCAAATTAGCTGGGACACGGTGTATATGTATATTTTGAGGAAAATCAACGAATAAAATACTCTCTTCCAATAAATGATGTTGCCATAACTATATTGGCATGTTTACCAAAGTTTGTGACCGTTCGTTTGATGCTTGCACAATTTTGCTCGACGGAACCACATGTCTTCCAATCAATTAAGGGCATATATCTCCAAGTAATTCAGGTAAATTCTTTTGTGGAGATTATAAGTATTGTCAGGACTGTGGCTCCTAATCAAAAATGCACAGAAACAAGCGAATAACTTGATTATAGTGATTACACTTTACTAACTCAGGTCGACACTTTTTCATACAAGAGGAGGCTTGGAACTTATTCATATTCTCTTTCATTTTGAATGATTATTACCTACTTCTTAGGATTTATATCATGTTCAAATAATTGCCTCAACTTTGTGAACACCTGGTAGATATAAAATGAGATTTATTTAACCCTAGAATGTAGAATAAAATACGGATAAGAAATACATTTTTGATACCTCCTATTTTTTTTTTTTATTATTATAATAATAGTTATTTATGTATCAAGGGCGTAAAGTAGGCATTTATTGCATGCGGCGTGAATAGTGTCCCGATGGCGCTAGCCGAGGGCCATTACACGCTGGAGGCCATAAACGCATTTCACGCACGTGATACATACAAAATTTTATGCACTAGTGGTTCATTTTCTGACTCAAAAGTAATGACTATCGATTTCGATAAACTAATCTTCCACCGTATTTAATTTATTACGTATAAATTCAGTAATCAAGAGGAGCGTTATGTTTATGGATGATTGACATATAATGATTATCGTACGAATATTGCAATTATCGTAATAGTAAAACTCTTCGATGTCTAGACGAGATTCATTCTTCAGAATTTTACAATATGCATACCCAGTATATACAGTGTGTCCCACTTACCATGCTCACCATGGGTATCTTTTTAACGGTGAGAGATACGAGGTCGGTTAAATGACACCAAATGTGGAGTTTGTCAAGGCCAACTATAATGTGAAAAAATATTTTGATACAATCTATTCGTTTTTGTTTTATACGCAAAAAACAGATTTTGGTCATTTTCATGTCTCCTCCGTAACTTCTTTATTTATGAAAATATTCAAATAGGAATTTCACATTCTCATGGCAGTTTTTCGAAGTGATTTCGAAACAAATATGAAATTTATACCAACTCTTCTAGAATTTGAGATATCAGCACCAACTTTAAATTTTCAAATGTAGGTATAGCTCACTATGACTTAGTTACAAATAACTTTTTTTCTCTTACAGATGATATGTCGCAGTAATAGTTTTGTGTTGATAACAACGGAGTTATCGTCATTTATACAAAAACAAAAAATTATTAGGGAGCCGCCATCTTGAATTTATAAATTTCAACAAAAAAATCATGATCTCCGACCTCGAAAACCCCCACTTACTAATTTTGAATAGAATCGGACCAAATCTTGTCCGCCATCTTGGAGCAGCCATTTTTTTTCAATTTCAACAAAAATTCCATAACTCCGATCAACTTGAAATTTGGCAGGTGTTCATAATTTCGGTGACAATACATTATGGAATTTTTGTTGAAATTAAAAAAAATGGCTGCTCCAAGATGGCGGACAAGATTTGGTCCGATTCCATTCAAAATTGGTAAGTGGGGGTTTTTGAGGTCGGAGATCATGATTTTTTTGTTGAAATTCATAAATTCAAGATGGCGGCTTCCAAATAATTTTTTGTTTTTGTATAAATGACGATAACTCCGTTGTTATCAACACAAAACTATTACTGCGACATATCATCTGTAAAAGAAAAAAAAGTTTTTTGTAACTAAGTCATAGTGAGCTATGACCTACATTTAAAAAACTAAAGTTGGTGCTGATATCTCAAATTCTAGAAGAGTTGGTATAAATTTCATATTTTTTTCGAAATCACTTTGAAAAACTGCCATGAGAATGTGAAATTCCTATCTGAATATTTTCATAAATAAAGAAGTTACAGAGAGGAGACATGAAAATGATCAAAATCTGTTTTTGCGTATAAAACAAAAACGAATAGATTTTATCGAAATACTTTTTCACTACTTTGTAGTTGGCCTTGACAAACTCCACATTTGGTGTCATTTAACCGACCTCGTAGGTATCTAAAAAGATACCCATGGTGAGCATGGTAAGTGGGACACACTGTATATACCTACCTTATTTTGACATTGTCAAGCAAGCTGATGGTTGTTGTCTATAGCAATACGAAAAACAAGCTGATTTGTCATTCTTTGACTTAAAAGTAAAAATTAGTGATAATAATTATAGCGAGACTATGGAATCGGATAAAGAAGAAGTTTACGATATACCGCTGGATATATTAGAATCTAGGAAAATGATCATAGGTTTTTCATTAATTGATATGTGGATATAAGGAAACTGAGAACAGCGGGCGGTAAAGTGCACTTTACAGCCCGTGGGCCATAATGAGCCCGCGGACGGTAAAGTGCAACTTAACGCCCGCAAAACTTGGCGGTGAAGTGCACATTACGGCCCGCTAGTGCATAATAATTATTTATGTACCAAGGACGAAAAACTGTCTATTATATAGTCTAGTCTGCAAATTTATAGCCGAAAACTCAGCCCAGGCTGGTAAGCAGGCGAGACAAAATAGACAGTTTTTCGCCGAGGTGCATATTAAATTTTTTCGTCGACCTCAAACACAGCCACATCACGGTCCTATTAGAGAGTTGAAGTAATCACTGTACGTAGACCTCCACGTAGACGTTAACGTACGAAAAATAACGTTTACGTATTGTCGTTAAATTGAGTTGAAGTTGCCACTTTGGTCGTCACTGTCACCATAACGTAATAATACATTTTGTTTTCGGTTTGTATTGGTCATTTTTGGTTGTGTGTTTAGATTCGAACATATTCCTGTCAATATCAGAGGACTCCTTGATGCAGAACTCGTTGGTGATCTCGAATTTGATACTTTTGACTCATCGGCATATTTCGAGTATAGTTTGGTTAACGTACGTTGATATTTAAGGTATACGTGAAGGAACGTGAGATAACGTACACCCGTAAGCCCACTAACAACGCAAACGTGAAGAATTGGAAAATGCGCATGCGTAGCTGTCAATTTCTACGTTTACGTTAACGTTCATGACAACACTTCAACTCTCTATTCACTCATGGAATCTATCGGATTTCGTAAATAATTTATTTGACAACAGCAAATGGCAGTTGTTGTCTATTTCATCAGTCATCAGTAAATACCTTGTCAACATTTCAGATCTATTTTAAGCTGAATTCATCCCAAGAAAGCAGGATAATGAAATAAACCTGTGACGTTGAAACATTTATGTACTTTTAGTGAACAAAAAAGAAACCTATTTCCAACAAAATGAAAACAAACAGAACAAAACATCCTCATGAAAAAATAATCATATTCCTAATTCTCAATTTAAACACTCACAAATATCACAAAATACAGTTACATAAGTACTTATAAGATTTGAGTAGGTATATGAAAAACTGGAACAAATAGTAAAATCCAAAAATACAAAACTGATATTACCTATCTTTAAGTCCTGTGATATTATGGCCCCTGTCTTGATACGATGCAATCGGCTACAATTCAAAAAGTCCAAAATGCTTATGTGAGATTCATTTATGGTCTTAGATATAGAGATCACGTAACACCGTTCATAAATAGAATGGGGTGGTTGAAAAAGTATAATAGAAGAGAACTTAATTGTTTTACATTCTTATTTAAACTCTTTATGAATAAAACGCCTACTTATCTCTTAGATAAACTACAATACAGACAACAAGCTCACTCAATAGACCTCCGTCAGCTAGGTAATCTTTCTATACCCTTTCATAGAACTTCCTTTTTGAGCGATCCTTCTCATACCATGCCGCATATTATTTTTCAATTCGATCTTTTTTCCGCAAATCGCTAGGAAATTTTGACATTCCTGTCAAAATTTCTTGAAGAAGAAGTCAGGACTTCCTTACTGTACAGTTGTTAGTGTTCTACATAAATGATTGAAAACACATTGCTTATAAGGAATTAATTTATATTTTGAAAACATCAAGTCATTGCTGAATACATTTTTAAGATCAATTTGTTATATTTACAGTAATTTGATAGTTAGTACAATTATTGAACATTGGAGGAACACTGTCAGAACTATGAGAAACATTTTGGACAACATGCGGGGTGGTAGGGTTATTTTGTTGAATATTTTGTACTGTGCAAATTTTATTTGCCACCTCAACCTTATTGTTAAGCGATTCTTCGATATATCCTTCAGCAACGTTTGATGACTTCCATCCGCCATGCCTCTTTAAACTAGTTATGTCGGCACCAGAGTCAACCAATATTGTTGCAGAAGACCGACGAAAGCAGTGACCAGTATATTCTGTCGGATTTACCAAGTTCAAATGAGTAGCAACTATTTTGGGCATTTTTCTAAATTGATGAATTCCTACTACTTGTCTACAACCCTTTCCGCTTTGATATTCGAAGAAAAATCGGTCACTGTTCATATTTTCTGGTCTTAACGAAACATACTTTCGATAAACATTCAAGTAGATCTGATTAACAAATGATCTTGGTTTGTTGGTTTTCGAATCAGGTATGCTGATTAAAAGCTCAGATTCTAGGTCTTCTATATCGTGTACAGTCATTCGGACTAACTCATCCATTCTACAGGCCCCAGAAATACCAAATATTACAGCCTCCTAAAAAATAAATAAAGGTATAATCTAAATAGAAATTAAAACCTTATGAATTACCTTAATTATTAAATTTTCTTTATCTGGAGCTTCCTGGATAAATTTTTCAATTTCTTCCTTCGTTAAAATCTTAGATTTCTTTGCCCTATAACCTTGAGCTTGCCGTTTCAATAAAGAACGAAGTTTTGAGTACCTATGTAGATATATCTATATACATTGTGTTTAATTGCAAGGGTTGACTTTAGCATTGAATAATTGGCCCATAATGTTGAAGATTTCATCTTTAAACAAAGGTCTAGGAAGTATGCCATTACAACATTTTCTGAGAAAGAACTCGTATTTTTACTCATGCGATAATCCATAAAACGTCTGTATGCATTTTCGTACTTTTCTCTTGATTTCTTTGGCAATAACTCTAATGAAGCAGTATTCACTGCCTCAACCAGCTCTGGAGGAGTCCCAGGAATGGAAATTTCATCATCACTTATCATTTTACTTTCGAGAACACCAGCAATTAAATTTATAAGCGTCAAGTTTGACAATTCAACCTCAATATGTTTCCATAGTAGGTAACCCAAGAAATTTTATCAGGAATTTCAAAGCACCATTTATTTGGGAATAAAATTATCGCGTTTTTTTTTTTAAATCAATCAATACCTGTCGAATTTTAAACGATTTGCGGAAAAATAGTATGTTTACCTCGTAGGAAAAGCCACATTCCTGGACTCTGTGTTGCTAAGTCTCGGCTTGCGCCTCGACTAGCAATCTTCACAGTCGCCCAGGAATGTTAAGCTTTTCCTACCCGGTAAACAATGTTCTATTATTGTACCTCCGATGATTTGAGTGAACCATCAAGAGTAAATGTTAAAATTATTTTTGGAATAAATTCGAATAAGCACTATTTTTATCACACAGAAGAATTCTAAAAGGAATAAGTTAACTCGAAAATGGTGGATGCTATTGAAACTCAACAAATGAACAATAATTCTTAGGTAAAAATGTTCAGATTTCCATATTACCAGGACAAATTGCCGAAAATAATTGCATAAACAGAAAAGTTGGGAGAAAAAGTATCCCTAGCCCTACCTATTTCTCACGCCCTTCATCAAAATTTCGGAAAATCCTTAACATTACCAATAAATCAGGCATACGGAGGTAGGTACATGCATAAAATTTGTTCATGTTATAACAGATGGTTTCGAAAATATTCACATAAAACCATCATCTCGGACCCTTTCTCATTTTTTTTTTTTTTAACCAAAATCCATATTTATATAAAATTCTTTCACAATTTTTTTCCTAGAGTCTGTTACTGACATCCTTTCATATGATTTCGCGACACCCTATATAGAAATATCGAACGAGAGCAATTTGTGTCCCGTAACATTCAAAAGTGAGTGAAAATTTGATATCATAATATTTCGATGTATCTATAAATCTATAGTCCTGTTCTAATGAATACTTTTCCTCATGTTCCCATGATTCATGATACATAGTAGGTACTTGTAAACTTGTATGATTATATTCCGCGAATGATTTATTATAATTTCGCAGTATTATTTATATAATTGTTTTCACTGTAGGTACTTTTTGTGACAAATCTTCGATAAAATTCATGATAGTGCCTCCAAGATTTCATAACTTCTTCAAATAATATCATGATATAAATTTAATCAGATATATTACTAATATATGTTATGATTCGGAGAACAGCGATTGACAATTTTCCTATAAACAATAGTTATTTGTTTTACTAGGCAGTCAATCTACTTTGCTGCTATGTAAAACATATAATTTTCTCCCAAATTTTGTGTAATTTTTTTATTGAAAACTATATCGTTTTGTGTTCAGCCAATTAATGTCAGTGTCAATTTCATTCAAATTACTTGGAACGTTACATAGCAACAAACTTTTTCGTGCTAGGCAGAGAAAGCACACCTTTGCTGCCTGTTAAGTGTCATAGAAAAGTGACTTTCTATGCCGCTTGGAGAAAATAGTTATTTATGCAACAAGTGCAAAAGGTGAATGTTTATAGCACTCGACGTGAAATTGCCGTTAGGCCGAGTTGGACAACACGTCGAGTGCAATAAACAATTTTTGCACGAGTTGCATACAACATTTTTTCTACGTTCATGCAAAAAGCAAAAAATAATTTATTGAGGTGTGGCACCAGGTATAGGAAAATGAAAAACGCAACTTGAATACTTTATTATTAATATCGATTTGCATTGAAACAGGAACTAATACCTACGTCACGAACAATTTAACTCAAACTTTATTTTTACCCTCAATGTTGAAAGTGAATGAACAATTGGTGCAATTTTCAATATGAATTTATGACGTTTCTATAACCACAGTTGCAGTATAAAAAATGTTTGTCATGATGACAACACGTTGAAATAGAATGAAAGATGAGTGCAATAAAAACTTTATTGCACTAAGTGCAATAAAGAACTATGGAGCTTCTTCGAGTGCAATTAGATTCGAAATAATTTTCCAGTGGCGTCACAGTGGGCAAATTTATCGATATTCATGGTGAATGTCATTGTACAATTCATTAGATTGAACTTTTGAAATAACAACTTCTTTATCCTTTGTGTGATTTTTGTATCCAGCTTAGTTTTTGAGGAAACAATAAAAATTTGATTCGACTCCAAATTTTAATGTAGGTTTTCAAGGCTCCCATTGCGATTACCCAATAACCCCAATTAGAATCATTCTGGAATTTTAGGGCTAGGTATCACAGTCTCCATTCAAACTGAATTTTGGTACCATGAAAGCTTATACAAGAGTGTTATACCGGGTGGCTACGGAAGTACTGCCTACGGAATATCTCAGTTATTGTATGAAGTAGGTTTGTGAAATTTGGAGCGTCGATATAATGACATTAGAGCTAGAATTTGAGCATATTGACATGTCGAAGTTAACTTCCGGTCTGACCGGAAGTAACATCAACTTTCTTATTTTAAATGGAAACCCTATTATTTTTTCTTTTCGCTTTATTCAGCATTCAATTCCCTTTCTAATGACATATCACAAGTTGGTATCTAACCAGAAACTAGATCAGAAAAAAATTATTATTGAAATTCACCGAGTAGGCCGTGGAAGCAAAATGAAAGCCAAAAAATGACTTTTTATTATATCATTAGAAAGGAATGGTTATTCTGAATAGTACAGGCAAGAAAAAGTTGTATGTTCCTATTCAAGTTATGGACCTACAGAGTATTGTTTTTTCCCCAATTTTTCCAATATTTTTTTTGGCGGCTTTTTATAACGCCGACGAATGAAAATAAAATATCACAGTAGTAGCAACTGTTATCAAGTGACGTATGGTTTCCATAGCCAACTTTCCAATTTTTGGCTTTCATTTTGCTTCCACGGCCTACTCGGTGAATTTCAATAATAATTTTTTTCTGATCTAGTTTCTGGTTAGATACCAACTTGTGATATGTCATTAGAAAGGGAATTGAATGCTGACTAAAGTGAAAAGAAAAAAATATAGGGTTTCCATTTAAAATAAGAAAGTTGATGTTACTTCCGGTCAGACCGGAAGTTAACTTCGACATGTCAATATGCTCAAATTCTAGCTCTTATGTCATTATATCGACGCTCCAAATTTCACAAACCTACTTCATACTATAACTGAGATATTCCGTAGGCAATACTTCCGTAGCCACCCGGTATATAAAAACAATAATTACTTCCAACTTCAACATCCTGTTTCTCAAAATCGGAGCGAGTTAGGACACATATTTATATGAACCTGATTTTTTTTTATTACACTATTCAACAGATACAAGATCCAATTACAGAATAGGAATATACTGAGTGTATTACTAAAATTATTTTCTTAATACATAAAATTACACATTGGAAAAAACAGAACAGTCCAGTTTTTTTAAGGACGCCAAACTGCAGCAAAAGATGTCAATGGTTTCATTCATATCGTATTATATATCGAACACATCTTGTAAACAGGGGGGTGCATGGAATTTAACATTAGTGCGACAAAGTGAAAGGTAAAAACTATTTCTCCGGGTTGTGAGTCTGGCAACATGAAAGTGTATCATCTCCAAAATGCAGCTGCAGTTCAGATTGTTCTGTATGAAATTGAAAAGGAATATAACATGTGACCTATTCCGACGATCTAAAAGTGAAGCAGCTGAAAATCTTGAAAGAAATTGATTATGTGGATGACCTACTTCTGGGTAGTTGCCATCAAGTTTAAAACATAAGTACTTCAAAAATGCTAGAATGTCACAAGAAATCACCCCTTGAATTTTTTCGGAGTTATTTAGATACACCCTGTATAAATGGCCTCTCATTCAATAATAAACTGAAAAATATACATATGTATGTATGAAAGTATCAATTTTGAGTAAGTAAAAACGAATAAAAAAATCCAATTCCAGCGAAAACGTTTTTAGAATGATAAAGACATTTTTTTTAGGTAGTACACAAGTATTCATCACGTCTATTACCAGATATGGTCATGGAACATTTTTTGAGGTATATCGATGTATAGAGATATTGATGATACAATCACCCTTTAGTGATGTCATTTTCGATAAGATTACGATAAAATGTGGGGATTCGCTTGAGTTTGTTCTAAGCAATAATTGATTCCACAATTGATCTCTCATTCAGTGCCAAAATGTCGTTCAAATTCAGTGAACTTATCGTTTTGGTGGTTTTGTTTTTCAGTGGAGTATCGCCACAGGAGTTAAAAAGTAAGTTTGAATGAATTCAACCTAAATTACCTTTATTCCATAAATAATATGAAGTGGCGTATGATCACTCCTATTTGAGTAGGTATATAATGACGAATCCTAATTTTTTTTATCAGAATTACTCATTAAGTGATTAAGTGCAGCAGTTAAGCTAGAATATTTTTTAATATATTGTGCACTTTTTGATAAAGGCATCAAATTTGGAACAGAGCTAGACCGATATAATATGAACAAATTTGAATGTAGATCCATCGGCAGTGGCGGATTAAGGTAGCTGGGGCCCCTTCCTTGAAAAATGTGTGGGGTGTATGTACGACAGGATTATTTTCATTTACATCAAGGACATACGTATTCCTGATAATAAATCAGTATCCGTTCATCTCTCAATTTGGACCTCACCAACTACGACGGGTCAAATATAATTATCTTCAAAGAATATTTTTGGGCGGAATAAAAAATACGTAACAAAGTAGAAAAAAATACGATTTGTAAAATAAAAATAATACAATAAAATGATGGATGATGATACAACGATCATAAGAAACTGAAGATACCATATAAAACCTCCATGTATGTGAATAGTTCACAAAGGAGCTTTCCTCAATTTGGCAGAATTTCTAAGATAAAATTGAAACAATTGGGCTTATATCACAAAAAAAAAAATTTCATAATTCGATAGAACTCACCCAAACTAGCTCACTACCGCAAACCGTTTCTTGCTGTGAGCTCCCTGCGTTATATAAAATATTATTGAAATCCCCGATTTTTCGGACCTCTGAAAACGAGGCGATGATGTGACGTCAAAACCCTGATACTGAAACAAGACTATTCCAGACATAGATGAATGATACATGATTTCTGTTATCAGTTGCCGCAGTCTCCGTCGGACGTATTTTCTTTCAACCAGCTTTTAACTATGGCGAGATGAGGTTTTTACGTCATAAGAGGTTCCGTTATCAGAAGGTACTATTATTTATTGTCCAAAAATAAAACATTTCAGTTAATTTTTCGATCGAATTATGTCGTCAATCATTATTTATGTATAAAAGAATCATTATAAACATGGTTTGAGTTAAAAGTTCTACTAAGGTGTACACGCCCATTAAACGGTTTCTATACGTTCGGGAAGAACAATAAGTTTTTTTCTGCGACAGGAGAAAAGTTTGACATTTCATCTCTGTTGATAAGTTATAAAATGACACTTTTTCCATGGAAAAGAAGTGAGTACTTTTTTCCCGGTTATGTTGATGACTATTGTTGAGCTAGCTCTGAAATATAAGCCAATAACACCGTCTCCAAGAAAGAACTGCAAGTCCTTTTATCTTCGAAAACCCCAGATACCAATTTTGAATGGAATCTGACCATAATTACAAAACTCGTCCGCCATATTGGATCCGCCATTTTGGAATTTTCTAATTTCGATGAAGAAATCATAATCTCCGACCTTGAATATCCCCAGATACCAATTTTGAATGGAATCTGACCATAATTACAAAACTCGTCCGATATATTGGATTGGATATATATTGTACTCATGTTCCTTCGTCATTAGTGATTTATTAATGAAAACATCCTCTAACTCATTTGATTGCCAACGTCACCAATTGTCACTGAGAACTGAGAAGTTGGAAGACGAATACGAATTTGCCATGCAAAAATCCATTTTTTATGTTGAAAACGGGATCAGATTCGTTCCCGAAACGTCCATAGATAACTGAAAATTTGATATTTTCTCAATATACCTTTACATTTCTTCCCCAAACCTTTTTCGATGCAAATTGTCACTGACAAGCTAGTGAATTTTTCTTTTAGGCTCTCTAATAGGAAAATTCTTTAAACGCAGTGACATTTTGGGGCAAATCATATGATTTGTCCTTACTACACGTATACAGTCTGTCCAAGATAAGGTCGAACAGCATGGGGATCTCGGAAACGGTAGGAGATACGAAGTCGCTTAAATGGGGAAAAAGTTGCGCATTCGGAGGCTCATATCAAGAGCCTTCGAAAATTTTGAAATTTATTTTTAGTTTTTGAGTTATATCGAAAATTTGGAATTTTTGGAATTTCTATTTTATTTTTTTTCTCCGTTATTATCAGAGATACAGAAAAACTGAAAATACTTTTTCATTGCAACTTTTGATGAGGTTTAACGTGGTGATACCGATTTTTTTATGCGACGTTTCGTATTCGTGGAACCATCATCAACTTTTGTTTTTTAAATACGGTCCTGATAATTTTTTCACAGATTCTGAAAGGTTTTTTTATTCTGAATTCAACAATGTACTATACAAGGTGATTCGAATGTGTTTCGACCTATTTCTATCCATCATCAATGTTTTTTCGAACTTCCAAAAGAAAAAAAGCCATTAGTTCCACTTATTTCTTATCATTTAGTATCAAACTTGATGGATCAGTTATTCAATACTGAAAAGTGAATAAAAAATATTTCACTACATCATTCAATCAATGCAGCGTTTAAAATTGTTGATGAATTCTTACACGAATTACTTTAACAACTTAACTTTGACAATACCTACAGAGACATTCATAACAAATGTTCAGAATGATAACCATTATTTTCTGAACAAAGATATCCTCTTCTCACAGTTGTTTCTAAGACATTGCTAAGCATTTCTGGGGTTATTCTATTGAATGCTTCGAAGACACTGTCCCTTAGTTCTTCTTCATCCTCAAAGTTATTTGCGTGTACAAAGTTCGATATATCCCCTAAGAAAAAATCCAGCTGTGTTAAATCAGGCGACCGCGCCGGCCAAGGGATAAAAACGCACGGACTTCTCTGGAATTATGTACCGGAGCGCCATCTTGTTGAAACCAACAGAGTTCTGAACTTCCGCAATCGGTAAATCATCCAGAGCTTCCTCAAGATGATTCTCAAGCGAATTTCTATAACGTTCGGAAGTCTGTGTTTCATGGTAAATAGAAGGAACAATAATTCGTGTACCAAATATTGCAACCCACATATTAAAGCCGAAACGGTGTTGGTGTCTCGCTGTAATGTATAAATGTTCATTTTCTCGTGAACAATAATGTGTATTTTTTCTATCGAAGCTACCATGACTAGTGACCATGCTTTCATCAGTCCAGATGATTGTTCGAAAGAAATCTGCAAAATTTTAACATTTCCTGGTATACCACTCACAGGATGTCTTGCGCCTTTCGTCATCTCCTGGTTTTAGCGCTTGACATATTCTGAATTTGTATGGATGGAATTTTTGTTTCCGCAAAATGAAATGGGTTGTTGATTGAAACCAGTTGATGAGGTATTAGTGTGTTGACTAATTTTCCTTCAAAATAAGTGGAACTGATGGCATTTTTCCTTTGGAGTTTCGAAAAAACATTGATGATGGATGGAAATAGGTCGAAACACAAATGAACCACCTTGTATAATACATGGTTGAATTCACAATAAAAAAACCTTTTAGAATCTGTGAAAAAATTATCAGGACCGTATTTAAAAAACGAAAGTTGATGATGGTTCCACGAATACGAAACGTCGCATGAAAAAATCGGTATCACCACGTTGACCGTCATCAAAAGTTGCTATGAAAAAGTATTCTCAGTTTTGCTGTATCTCTAATAATAACGGAGAAAAAAAATAAAATAGAAATTCCAAAAATTAACTTTTTTCGATATAACTCAAAAACTAAAAATAATTTTCAAAATTTTCGAAGGCTCTTGATATGAGCCTCCGAATGCGCAACGTTTTTCCCATTTAACCGATTTCGTATCTCTTACCGTTTTCGAGATCCCCATGCTGTTCAACCTTATCTTGGACAGACTGTATATTGGAATAACATTGATATTTTCATTTCATAGAGACGAGGAGAGAAAATCCCAAATAATGAATGGAAATGAATGTACCACCTCCTCGATCAACCTACAGACAGTATTTAATTAGAATTATTTCGAAAAATTACGTAACGCAGAGATGTTGATTCCAACTCTCGTGTTTGTTGTTTACAAAATTTCCAATGCAAAATCATGCGTTAACTTCTATGATACTCCGACTTTTTCTTCAATGAAGTAATGACTGGAAGTTACCCACAAAGTTAACTTTTTCAAACGGTCATAACTTTGCTATTTCAAATGGAACACCCTGTATATTTCACTAGAAATGCATTCCTATTTTCATTCTCTTTCATATGATACCATATCTCTTATATGAGCGGTCTGTATTTCTCGAAGAGCAGTTTACCAGGGCGGACATGTCTGGGATAATATTTTTCAAAATATCTCATTCATTCCAGAACAAACAGTGTACATAGAAACAAATTAAAAATTGGAATGAATAAATGCAATAAGATACTCGATAAGTAAATAAACACTTGTTTCGAGATTACTTAATCTATTATCACACTTAGATAAGAACTTATGGAAATAAGATGATGCATCTCCACAGTTGAACAGAACTGAGTCAAGAACAACTTTAACAACAACATAATGTAGAATGATAAAATAAACTTGAGATGAATGATTATGAAATATCAAATAAAAAGAAATAAAATTGAAAATGAAATCGGGAATAAAATCAATGTCTTATTGCTGCCATATTTGGGTCTAAACTCTACCCAATCCGCCCTAAGCCTATGTTCCAATAGTTATGACTCACTTTGTATATTACGCCATGTATAGATGTATATTTCATTTCATTCTTATAGCAAACCATTAACAATCAAAGATACCAGACTATTTATTTTCTATCTCCTGAGACTTTGAAATATTACCAAATTCAGATTGATTATTATCAATATTTTGTAATGTCTTATTGATTCAAAACTTTGATATGGATACAAATTGAGTGAAAACAAAAATCAAAGATAAAGGCGTGCGCTGCTTTTACAGATATACAATGACCAATGACATGTTATTCAGTAGGGAATTTTAAAAAAATACCGCCACGGAGTTGGAACCAAATTGAGTGAGAGATTTCATCACTTGGGTTCTAGCGGGAATGACTACAGAGATGGTGTTCAAAATCG